GCATTTGCGAAGCGAAGACGTCTGCGCTTTCCGCCCTCACACTAGAGCGGGGTTCAATTCCTTTGCGAGGATGACGACCGTAGTTTAGGAAGAAGGGGGAATATCCAGTGGAGGTTTGCACTTTGTCATTATAGTTAAATTGGGCGAGGGGTAACCACTCTGCCCAGTCATTCTGACGGTAATTGGTGAATAAATGAAGATATTGCTCGATTTCTTGGTTTATCCATTCGGTCTGACCATCTGTTTGTGGATGATATGCTGTGGATAGATTGGTTTGGATCCCGAGCAACTGATTGAGGTCGTGCATAAAGCTAGACACGAACTGAGAGCCGCGATCGCTGATGACGCGTTCAGGAACACCAAAATCCTGCCATACCCGGTCTCGGTACAAACGTGCAAGACCTTCAGAAGTCAACTCTCCATTTGTCGGCGCGAGACGTATCATCTTGGACAGTTGGTCCACAACAACGAGGATGGCGTCATTTCCCTTGCTTTGGGGAAGTTGAGTTATGAGATCCACTGATACGAACTGCCAGTTATGCTCTGGCACTGGATTAGGTGCGAGTAATCCGAATGGCTTTGTGGGAAAGGTCTTAGTACGTTGACATTTCTCGCAGCCACTCACATAACGCGTTACATCCGCATGAATTCGTGGCCACCAATATGTCCGCAAAATTAACTCTGCCGTTTTGTAGCGCCCTGGATGACCGGATACAGGCAGGTCATGGTGAGAGTGGATGATCTGATCTCGGAGGGATTGTTCATTCGGCACATAAATATGATTCTTCCACAACCTCAATCCGTTCTGTTCCTTCCAGCCTCTCTCACCTTTCTTTATTGCTTCTCTTACAAACCTCTCAACCCTCTTCGATGTGTGAATCTTCGACAAGATTTCATCACCCTCCATCTCTATCTCCGTTGTTACTGCTCGGAACCATTCCTCTTTCAATAAAACTCGATCTTCATTATCTTCCTCCCCCCGTCCATGGTCTGCTCGTCTCGAGAGGGCATCAGGCTTCCCATGGGATTTTCCCGGCTTATGGGTAAGTCGGAAGTCATACTCTGCGAGTTCCAAGGCCCAACGTGCTTGACGACGGTTTAGTTTCTTTGCCGAAGTAAAATACTCCAAATTCTTGTGGTCAGTGACAATTTCGATGGTTTGTTGCGCACCCATCAAATAATGTCGCCATTCAGCAAGAGCTCGCATAATAGCGAGCAGTTCCTTGTCATGGATGTCGTAATTGCGCTTGACATCAGATAGTGCACGCGAAAGGAATGCGACAGGGTGCCAATGATTATCGGATTGGAGTTGGGAGAGTACTGCTCCTGTAGCATAGTCAGAACTATCAGCTTCGACACGAAACGGGGCATCGTCTTTGGGTAGGATAAGTACGGGTGCTGTGGTGATAGCAGTTTTCAGGCCTTGGAATGCCTTTTCTTCGTCTATTCCCCAATGCCATTGTTCATTACCAGTTAAGCTGGTGAAGAGGATGAGCGATATGAGCGAAACCTTGAATGAAACGACGATAGTAGTTGGCAAATCCTAAAAATTGCTGGAGTTTCGCGTTTCATAGTAGGTCGAGGCCATTCCTGTACACCCTTCACTTTGACTGGATCCATAGAAACCTCGCCGTGACGAATAACGAGTCCGAGATATTCGATTTCCGTCTGTTCAAAGGCACATTTCTCGGCCTTCAGATACAAGTGGTTGTCACGAAGGATTTGAAGAACTTCACGTGTGACTCGTCGATGTTCTTCGAAGGATTCGGTAAAGATGAGAATGTCATCCATGTAAACAATCACCACTCCACGGCTAATGAGATCTCAGAATAATCATTCATCATCGTCTGAAAGGTAGCTGGTGAGTTTGTGAGGCCAAAAAACATTACCAATGGTTCATAGAGTCCCCGATTGGTTGTAAACGCAGCTTTCCACTCATCTCCCTCACGGACGCGGATATTATTGTACCCCCATCGAACATCGAGCTTGGTAAAATATCGCGCGTTGCGGAGTTTGTGGATTACTTCGGAAATCAGAGGAAGGGGATACCGATTTTTGATGGTAGCTGAGTTTAATTTGCGATAGTCCTGTACAGGACGCAAAGAGCCATCTTTCTTCTTGACGAAGAAGAATGGGGAAGCAATAGGGGATTTCGAAGGTTGAATTCGTCCTGTGTGCAGATGCTCTTCAATGAACTTGTCGAGTTCAGCTTGCTCAACGAGACTTAGCGGGTAAATCTTGCTATTGAAAGGTTCGATGCCTGGTTTGAGTTCAATAGCATGATCCCACTGACGTCGTTCAGGTAAGCGATCAAATGAGGCTTTCTCAAACACCGGCGTAAAATCTTCAAGGTGTTTGGGAAGTAATTCTTCCAACGACATCTTTGTCCCCTTCTTAAGTGCCTCCTCTGCCAACTTCTGAGAGCGTGTTTCCACAGCCCTAATCTTTTCACATCTTCTAGCCTTCTCCCAATACTGCCATTCTTCCAATGTCTCGACCTCAAACTTAGTGACAAAAATGCGATCTCCGTCTTCTAACTGCTCAACTTTTCGCTTCTCCTTACAAGGTTCATCTTCTGGCTCATGTGATATCTCTCCTCCAAAGGTAGCACGGCAAGCAAGTGGACAGCGATTAAAGGTGATATCTCCAGTGCGCCAGTCGATAGAGGGATTATGCTTCCGAAGCCAATCGAAACCAATGATAAGGTCCGTTTTTCCAATGTTGGTAACTGCAAAATTAAAGATCTCGATATGATCTTGTACCTGGAGACGCAACTTCACCACAGATCGAATTGGACCTCCTTCGTTGTGTGAGCCATCCACATTATAAACTGGAATGGGTCGAGGAAGTGATTCGAGATTAAGACCTTTGGCTCGTGCAAATCCCTCGTCGATATAACAGCCTGTGGCTCTGCAATCTAGAAGAGCATTCAATTGGAAGGTGCAGTTGATCATCAAGGGTGCCGATAGTAACCGGCGTAACAACGGAATTCTGATTAATTTTGCGGATCCAGGTTTTTGGACGTTTTAACTCTCGGAGAACCTCCTTTTGTTGAATTGGTGTGAGCTGTCGAAGCTGGAGTAGGAGGTCAATATCAACCTCCGAGATGCGCTGACGATTGGTCCAACGACGTAACGTCTTCAATGCCTTTTCATCGTCGGAACGAAGCATCTCCATGGTCCATAGCAAGGAACCCTTTTTCACCTTCTCGTCATCCTCCAGCTGTCTTTTACTAGCTTCCTCTTTTTTATCATTCTGTTTTTGCTCCTTTCTCCGCTGATGTTTCTTTTGTAGTTTACTCTTTGGTTGATCTATAGAAGTGGGTGCTTGGGAGTCCGAATCACAAGTTTCATTGACTGATTCAGCACTTATCGTACAATCCGCCGGTGAGTTGGCACCCTTCTCTCTCGGCGTCTTCAAAAATCCTCTTGCTTCTCTCCAGACTTCTCTCAGTAAATTAAAAATCTCCGCTACTTCTCCCTTTTGTTCTTCAGTCAATCCCTCGAAAACTGCCCTCATTGTATTCCATCCTCGTGGCTTAGGACAACCACGAGCAATGTGCCCCGTCTCTCCACAGTTTGTAGCATTTGAGCTGGGTAGAGGTAGCTCGTCCACGCTGTCGGTCAAGATCCATGGGCTCCCCTCGTCCAGGAAAAGTGCGCCAGCCCCCCACTGTGTTGGTGCCCCCGGTGCCTGTGCCCGCGTGACTCCCAGTGTCCGTAGTGGTGCCGCTCGTTCCAGTGGTACCTGTATGGGGAGATCCTCGTCCTATACCTCCTTGTGGCTGAAACCAACCCGGTCCTCCTCTTCCTTCACCAAACCTCCTTCCACTCGCAAATTCTCCTCCATCACTCCTTTCGTTCGCTCTCTTATTCCTATCATACTTCTTCGCATAGTCCTTCCATGCCGTCAACTCTCTATCAACCTGCGGAGCAGCCACAATTGCATCAAATGTGGGCTTGTCAAGGTTTTGATGGAGTATATCAAGCAAGGCTTCGTCGTTGAAGCCTGCGACTGTTGCGAGTTGATCAAACTCGGCGAAATATTCATCAGCGGATTGTTTAGAAGTTTTCTTCAGCGCGTGAAGCTTAACCTGCGCGAGCCGTTTCTTATTCGGATCATCGAATACACCTCTCAACTTCCTCTTGAACTCTGCCCAACTCGCAAAGACAAGAGTGCCTTCCCTCAGCTGCTTCGTGATATTGGTTGCCCACGTACCCACAAAACCTTTCTTCATAAAGGACAAGGTCATAATGATTTTCATTTGGTCATTAGCATAGACCGACGGCTTGCCGGAAAACAATAGAAAAAGTTGACTCATGAATGCGTCGAACGTCTCGTACTTCCCGTCATAAGCATCTGGTTCAGCAATTGATGCTTTAGGGATAGTCGGCGCAGTCGGAGTTTGTGGTACTGGAGCAGGGTGAGCTAGAACTTGTGCGACAACCTGGCCAAAGTCTTGCTGCCCTTGCACCAACTGTGTAAGGAGTTGAAGAAGGGTGTTTCCATCAGCGCCGTTAGGGGAAGACATATTTTCATCAACATCAAGTGAGTTATTGTTTGAAGACATGATAGGGGTAGAGTGGAATAATGGTTTTGGGCGTGAAGAGATTGTTTTCGACCTAATGTCAGCAACACCCTAAGTCTGCTGTTGGGGCTCAGATAAAGATCCGAGGAGGAGAATAGGATAATATTATTATTACAGAACTGCGATGGTAAGATAGACAAGGTCGAAAACAAGGAACGAGACTCTCGGTGGCGCGCGTCATAACCAAATTGAAGGCCCGCTAGCCCTTGGGCTACGCCTTTTCATCACACGGTGTTGTGTTGACTTGCCGTCAGCAACATTCTTTTTTTTTTTTTGGAAAAGCGAGTTTATTATGTAGCAACTGACACTGTCTAGCCCTACGTAAAACGCTTATAGCAGTGCAATGGCACCGTCCGAGGAAAAAATGCTACTTATGCACACTCCGTATGGGAGTAGTGTGGGGCTCCGTATACTACCTGGTGGCCTCGGTCTGCGAGGGCCTGGGTAGTTTAATACCCACTAAAACCTCTAGTGTTGTTACCCAATCGGTACTTTCCGGGTTTATTTTGTTGTTGTTTATTTTTATTATGTCAGCCCAGGTTTGGCGGACTTGTGTGATGGCTTTAGATGATCTCTTTGTTCGAGCTGCTATCGCGCGGTCTAGTTGTATTCGTTTGTTAATGGTGTTTACCCACCTGCTGGTGATGTTGTCTTCTGTATGTATTTGTCCTTTTATTGTTCGTTCGCATCTTAGTGTCCAGATAAGATAAGCTGATTCAGATATTAGGATTTTTAGGAGGCGGGACGCTCCTTTGTTGATTTCCGGGATTGCGTGGTTTTCTCCGTGTTGTTCTCAGGGGGGGTTGCGAGATGGACAGCGCGCCGCTGCCTAGGACTAGGCCTATCTTGGGCTCTGGCCATGGTCCGTGTTGACTTGGCCATATGGATCTGGCGAGGCTCCAGATTTTCTTTCGCGTTGGGTTATTGCATTGTGTGAGGATGTGGTCCATCAATTCCGGGACTTCCCCACAGGCTTGGCATCTGGCTCTATGTTCAAATGTGGGTATTTGTAGCCAATACTCACCTATTCTGAACATGTTGTTTAGTGTTTTGTATATGAACATCTGTATTTTTTTTGTAATGTCTTTATTTCTGCAGCTTCTCCATATCACTTCGTCCGTCTCGATTGTGGCGGTCATGGATTCGATAGTGGCTCTTGTCAAGCTCAGTAGGCCTAGGGTTTGTCTGTTGTATTCTAGGTGTGTTCCGTTTTTCAGAGCTTGGTATGCTAACTTTTGCGTTATGTTTGACAATTTTGCGCCTTGTAGGTCAAAATTCCTTGGTACATACAGGTCTATGGCGTCCGTGTCTGTTTTCGATGCTCCTTGTTGGGCAAGGCGGTCTGCCTTTTCATTTCCTTCTATGCCGCTATGACCCTTTACCCATTGGAAAGATGTGGGGGCTGGTCGCCAGTCTTAGTTGGTATGCTAATGCTTTGAAAATGGGGGCGTTGGATATTCCTATCCAGCCCGCATCTTCCCAGTCGCTTAGGTGAGTGGTTATGCCATTGATTACATATTTTGAGTCGGTTATAATTTTCACAGGTGTTGATGGGTTTACTGATTGGAGTGCTACAAGTACAGCTACAAGTTCTCCTATTTGGTTGGAATGGTGAGTGCCCGGTATGCTTATCGCTCGGTTTAGTGGGTGATTGTTTGCTATCCAGATGCCACCTCCGCATTTTGCGTTTTGTTTCCCGTTGTTTGTGCAGGATCCATCTGTGAAGATGGTGAGTGGGTCGTTTTGTGTTCTTTGTCCGTTTTGGGGGGCGTGGAGGCGGTAGGCCGGTATGTGGATGGGTCTGGTTGGGTTGACGAAGATGCGGAAGCCATCGGATAGGTTGTTTCTGATCGTGATGGATGGGTTGAAGGTGGATTCCTGTTGCGGCTGTTTTTTGCCTGTGCGTTTTTCTCTAGTCTCCTGTGTGTTAGTGTTAGGTCATCTTTTTGTGGTGACGAGTATGGGTTGTATTTGGGGAGGAGGTTGCGGATTATTGACTCAGCTGTTGTAGCGCATTTGTGCGGGTTCTTACATCCTTTTAGTCGGTCTTCTATGCATTCATTGCATAGGCATGTATTTTGTTTTTGGTGTGTGTTTTGGTGGGTTAGTCGCCTTGTCATGTCTCTCAGGTCCTTTACTAACTTTGCTTTGTGTATTTGTTTTAGGCATAGGTTTTTTATCTTATGATACGTCTTAGGGGGGGCGCCGATATGTGACCATGCTGGAAGTTGTTCTTTGAGGTTACTGGATATTTTCAAAGGTACGAAGCTGGTGCAGTGTTTTTTTTGCGGTTTTTAACAGTGTTGTGATTATTATTGGTAGTTTGTTTGCTCGTTTGCCTTGTGTCGGGGGGGTCCAAGATGTGAGGAAGGCTCTCGTGTCAGATGTGTTTGTTGGGTCATCGGGTCTCAGGCGATTTATTATTTCGTCGATTACGAAGGCCCACGTCGGACGGTGTGTTGATGTGTCCATGTATGCCTTTAGCCACATGATGTTGATGGCCTCGTTTCGTGTTTTTATGTTTAGGAGGTCTAGGCCACCTTCAGTTATCGGACGTTCTAGGCGTTTGTTGCTGATGGGTGGGGTCCTTTTCTCGTTCCATATAAAGTTTCTAATAAGTTTTGTGATAGCGGTTTCTATGGATTTTGGCATTCCTTGTGCCTTTGCAAGGAACTGCGTCATGCCGCCAGCTATCATTTGTGTAATTAGTTTTTTCCCGTCTAGGGAGGGGTGTCCAAGTTCCCATCTTTTGAAACTCTTTTCTATTTTCTCTAGGATCGGTTCCCATGATGTTGCATGTTCGACGTCATTCCCTATCCAAGCTCCTAGGGATCGGATCGGGTTACCATCTTGGGCTATGTGGACTTGTTCTTTCCACAGTTCGTCTCTATCGTTTAGTTTCCTTGTTCGACTCACGTTTTGCCGGTGTTCTTTGGTGCCTATCGGTAATATTTCTGTTTTCTCGAGATTGAATTTCGCACCTGACGCTTTACACCAGTTTTGGAGTGGTTCTTCGAGGTCGGTGTAGCTGTCTTCGTGTGTGAGGTACACTGTTGTATCATCTGCGTACATATTGACTATAACTCTTTCGTTTATTCCAGGTATTTGGTATCCTTTTATTTTTGGGGAATTACGGAGTGCGCACGCAAGTGGTTCGATTGCGATATCGAACAGTAGACATGATAGAGGATCCCCTTGTCTTACGCCTCGAGAGACCTTAAACGGTGAGCTTAGGAAGCCGTTTATTGCTACTTTCGTGTATGCTGAGTTGTATAGGCTTTTGATGGTATTGATGAACATGGGTGGGATGTTGAAGGCTTCTAGTGTTTCTAGGAGATATTCATGGTGTATTTTATCGTAAGCTTTTCTTGGTCAAGGGCTACTATTACTCCATCTTCCTCCATCAGGTCCGCGTAGGCGGTCATTACTTGTGTCAGGCGGATTGGGTCAAAGATTGATCTTCCTTGGATGAAACCGCTTTGATTAGGGTGTATTAATTGGTGGATGTGTTTTGTGAGTTGTATTGCCAGCGCTTTAGTTAAAATTTTATAGTCGGTGTTCAGTAGGGTTATTGGGCGGTAGTTCTCAATCAGAGTTCGGTCTCTTTTTTTGAATAAAGGGCACATCCACCCGAGTGTGAAATCAGAGTCTTTATGGATTCCATGTAACTGTATGTCGTTTATGACTATTGTAAGGGTTTTGATGATATTAAATCCAGGTTTTTCATTTCTGCTTGCTTCTTGGTATTTATTGTGAAGGTTTTTCCACAGTTCATAGGAGATTCCATCGATGCCGGTTGCGCTTCCGGATTTTGATGACATAAGTGCGTCCAGTATGTGTTCCTCCTTTAGGATCTCGTTCATTTGGTTCGTTTGTTCATCTAGTTTCTGGCTTTTAGGTATTTCTTTCAGTGCTGTTTCTCTTGCTTGTTTTTGACTTTGGTTTATGTTGGTGTCAGTGGGTGTGTTGTGCATTTGGATGTCGTTGTGGTATGTTTTTGCTATTTCGGCCATTTCTTCAGATTTCGTCGTGTATCTGTTTGATCCCGGTATTTTCAGGCGATGGATTATGTCTCTTGGTGCTTTTTGTTTGTTTATTCTTGACCAATATTTACTTATGGTTTCTCCTTGGTGAGCCCATTGCACTTTTGCTTTTATTTGCGCCTTCTTATTTTGTTTGTTTTGTAGGTGGTTTATTTCTTGTTCCATTATCATTCTGTTGACTCTTACATCTTCAGAGGTATCTATTTCTTTTGAGTTGGAGATCTTGCGTAAGTCTTTCGTTAACGTTTCGTTGGTTTATTCTTGCTAGCTGTTTCTTGGTGGTTTCTTTGGCCGCGGCTGTGATTTTGTTTTTGAATGATTTCCATATAGTTTGTGGGTTTGTTTCTTCATCTCTTTGTCTTAGTACGTCGAGTTCCTTTTGGCTCTCATCACCTATTTTAATGATTTGTTTGAGTAGATCTTCGTTTGCCATTATTCCTATAGGCCAGGTCCATCTCCCTTTGCCGATGTGTGGTAAGCCCGGCGGGGCGAATCTCACTGATACCATTTGGTGGTCTGATGGTATTTGGCTGACTTTTGTGTTCCAGTCTAACATACTTTCTAGGTGTCGTTCGGATGTGTAGATTCTGTCGAGTCGTGACAGTGTATGTCGGTTGCTACTGAATGTGAACAGACAGTGGTGAGGGTTTTCATTTCGCCAAGTGTCTTGTACTTTGATCTCTGATCTTAGTTCTCTCAGGGCGTTTATTGCGGGTTCATTGTCTAGTCTTGCAGGCGCGCGGTCAATTGGGTTTTCAGTAAGGTTAAAGTCACCTAGCATGAAGTCTATGTCACTGACGTTTGATTTTAGCCATTCCGTTTTGACTTTGTTCCAGAAATTAGGGTGTTCATTTGCGTTGTTTGGTGCGTATATGTTTAGAATTTTGATTGTTTTGTTGTTGTGCCAGTTTAGTGACATGATAGCTGCTCGACCCGGTATTAGTATTTCCATTGTGGCGCTTGACGCGTTTGTTAATTCTTTGTTTAGGACAAAGGCTATGCCAGCTGAGCTACCGGGGCGCTGCGGGTCACTTGTGTTGAGTACTCTTAGTCTGCGGGAGAAAAGGGAGTCTATTTGCTTTTCGTGTTCGTTTGTCAGGTGGGTTTCTTGGACACATAATATACCTATTTTTTGGTCACGCATTGTTTGGTTGATTGTAGTCCATTTTGATGTTGGACTTTGGGTGAGGTTAGTTGAGGTGCGTCCTTTCATGTTTAGAGTCGCAAGTTTAATGTTGGCTCGTGTTTTTTTAATTTCATTCAGGGCTTCGTTTACCTGGTTTGGTTGTTGTCGTTGTGCGTGGTCAGGTGGGTCTTCTGGTGTTGGTGTTTGGGGGTCGTTGTTGGGGCTTTGTATGGGTGGTGTGTTTCCCGCTTGTGGGTTTCTGGTTACATTTGGGGGTTGTTGTTGGTGTTGGGGTTGCCTTTGATTGGCAGATCCACTTCCGAAAGACCCAGACCGGTCATCGGAGGGCCACCCAGTGGTACGAGGTGGTCCTCCTCCGCGGTTTGGGAAGCAAGCACCGTGACCGACAGAGAGACCGAGTATGTGGGGGGGTTGTAGAGTATTGTTGGTGATCGTAATACTAAAGCTACACTACGATCATGGTGTAGATTTAGAACGAGCATATCCTGGCTCATTGTCAGTGGACTATGTTAGCGTTTTCAATGAGTTACAGCTCCCGTGATACTGGTATCATTTACTAACGAAAACTTAAGCCTCTCGGCACGGCTCGTCCGAACCTAAACAGGTATCCGTGGTCTGGTGTGCACCATGCTTTTGTGGGGCGAACCTCAGCTTTCCTGTCCCGTTGTGAGAGCGGTCAGTATATTTGGGCCAGGTTCAGTGTTTTCCGGTTCGTGCCTCAGTGGAAACGGGGTCGTATCATCAACGGTTCACTTGTTCTTAGGGGTCGGGCCTAAGACGGGAGCGTTGCTTCGGGTTGTTTTTAGCGGTTTTGTTCTGGTGGAACGACTGTGATTGCTGTACTAGGACTGGGATGGGGTGGGTAAGGTAGGTATGCATATATGTATCTATATCAAGGACTAAGGGGGGGTTAGGATGGGAGCAATGATGGGTTTGTTTGGGTATGTGCTTTCTCGTTATATTATGTACTTAGTGCATTGGTTAGATCAGATTGGGTCACGCGTTTCGTCCAGGTCTGCCCCCTCTTGTCCTTCCTGCCTGGCGAGCCCCGTTGTTACTGTTCCTGCCGCCTACTTTCGGGCCGTTCCAATGGGGGATGAGTGGGAATGGGCACAGACCTCTTGGGTGTGCGAGGGAGTGACAGATTTGGCAGGCGAAAAGTGCTGTCGTGGTTCCACAACCGTCGAGGCTGGTTGGGTAAGAGAGTGTGCTCAAGTAGCTTCTGAGATTAGTCCATGTCTTCGCATCGTTTGTGGGACTGGTTGCGAGAATATTGAAGCGGGGGACTGATAAACCTCCCGTTATTTTGAAATCGAGGAGCTCGACGCGGCATGATGAGATTAGGTCTTGGGTTGCCTTGAACTCATCGTCGAGTAGGCGGCATGACGAGAAGAGTTTTCCTATGTGGTAGCGGGTCTCATCTTGGTTCCAGGTATCAGTGACGGCTTGTAGGATGGTAGCTTCATCTAGAGTTGTGAAGCCGGTTAGGCCGAAGAGGAGTTCTGGGGGGTGTGTGCAATTGAAGGGAAGGGCTTCGAAAGTCAGGTCGGTTGTGGATCATACTCGTTGGGTTAGGAGTAGGTCTTCGACTTCTTTGGTCACACTATGGACTAAGAACCCGATTGGGAAGTTCTTTGCTCCTTTGCCACCTTGTGGTTGCGGGGGGGAGACACGAATGGGGGGGGTGTCGTGGTGAATGGACTCCGCTATGGTAGTGATGTTTGCGCGAACTCGTTCTGCTATGATGGCGGCTTGCTCTGCTACTTCTTTCCCTGAATGATCAAAAACTCTGACCATGAGTTTCGGGTGCACAACCTGGAACCAGGCGAGCAGGACTCTATTTTCTAGGTGGTCGAAAATTTGCGCTGAGTGCGACATGTGCACCGTTGGGAAGCCCCCGGTTGGAGCTGGGGTGAATTGGGGGAGTGTAGTGCTATTGATCGTGCCATGTTGACTTAGCACAGATCTATTCATGTTTGCGAGCACTAGATGCTCCAGAATGGCCTGTTCTTCGTATGTGGGGGCATGGCTTGCAGTGGGGTTCGTGGTGTCGGTGATCATCTGATCTACTGCAGTGTTGCCTGGGGTGTGGATAGAGCTGGCGAGACCGGAGGGGGGGGGTGGTAGTTTCGTTGTTGCTAGGTATGGATGACTTTACGCTGAATTCCCGGTATACAAGGAGGTCGGGTTGGAGGGGGTGGACGCGTTCTGTTTGTCCTGTAGGGGTTGGGGTATCAGGGGGGGAGCGTGGGCTCGGGGGAGAAGGTGGGGATGGGGGGTCAGGTATGTAAGGTATCAGGTCCATAGCACGATCCAATTCCTCCTGTAGGACATCAGGGGGGAAGTATTTTGGTCCGGACCGGGATGATTGAGAAAGCGGACAGGGGGTGGTTGGGTATGGGCGTGAGGCTTGAGAAATAGCCTTGAGTGAGGTGGGTTCTTTTTCTTTCATCGTTAGTTGGACAGGGATTATTGTTAGTAGGGGGTGGGGTTTTATATCTTCCTTACTCTGCATGTTTTTCGGTTCAAGTCTTTGGTGGTTCGGTATGGGCATTGTGGCCGGTTTCATCTCGGTTTTCGAAGTAGGCTGTGGTCAATCTGTGTTTGCCGGTGAGTGAGGTTTCTCATGGGGAGAGGGTTAGTGACAGTAAAGGTTAGTGTAAGGTGGAGCGAGCTTTCGTTTTTACGTGCAGGCCTGTGCTGGTGTCTTACTGCCGGTGTTTTGACGTACGTTGGGTGTCTTAGTCTTTCACTTATTTATGTTTGGGTTGCTTTTTGACGTGTACATGTGAGTTTGTCCAGGTTGTTCTCTTGTGTCGATGTTTTGCTCGGTTTTTGTGTTTGGATATCGTTGTTTGTGATGGGATTTCAGAGATGGGTTGTTGTTTTTGTGTTTCCAGTTTTAAAATGGTTCATACTAGGCCAGATGATGCTGAGAGCCGCGACAGCTCGACCTTGCCCGCGTTTTTTAAGCGTGGGAGTTCTCGACCATGGTGGTGGTACGAGATCAAGGGCCCCCCAGCAACATTCTTGAGGTGGATATGATAGCGCAAACCTTGCCAAGAGTCTCGAATATGCCGACAGAGAGATTGCAGCGCTTAGCATGTGACTGAGGCCGGCCTCCAGACTTAGTAGCCATTGTAGAGAGTTCCAAATCACGCTATCATACACTGAACTGATGCTGTATACTATATTGTCCATCCTCTCGATTCTGAGTTCTGCCACACTATCATGGGCCATCTTCCTCTCACGGTGCCCTACCACGTGCACGTGACATATAATGGCAGAGTTCTGCCCGTCAATTGCACTTGAGTCTTGAGCAGATATATATCGTCTTTTGGAGTTTATCAAAGTACGCAACAGTCGCATGATTATTTATTTACCAATTTTACCTCACTGTTGCACAATCTCCAGTGTCCACCAATCGGCGAGCTGCATCACTGAGCCGTAAGCATTCGTAACACATCAAACTTCTTGCACTACTAAGCGAGAACTGTTCAATTCATTGAGCAGTCCTAAAAATTTACAGATCCCCCCTTTCGCGTGAGTTCTGCCGAGGACCAGGCACAACCGGTTTCGGTTGGCAAAACTGCCGAGTTCTACCAACAACACTAACTACAACACATCCACTGGCACTAAAAAAATCACTATAAAGACTGATGCATCTCATGTCTATAGTTTCCTCATCTCGACGTTCATAATATGAATCCGACGATTGTGTTTCCCACTGTCACCCACACGACCACTCTTGACTGCGAGCCCTCACAATTCATTTTACCTGACCTCATCAATGATTGCCATTATTACTTTCGACAGAACCTTCATGGTTATGCCGTGTCCCGCGCATCTGATCAATGGCTCATTGACGTAGCACGACTGGTAGAGCACGAGCTCAGAGGGTATATCGAAATGGACGCAGGCAGATACGCTGCCGTTTGCTATCCTGATGCAGATGCTTTCCATCTCCAAGTCTGCTCTGACTTCTTTGCATGGGGATTCATTCTAGACGACTTGATGGAGTATGGTGTTGTCGATGTACGGGGAGCGCTTGAATCCTGTATTTCTGCATTGCGCGATCCCATCAATTTTGACACAGAACAGCTTGGTGCAAGGATGTGCAAGTCGTACGGCTATTTTTTCCATCATATACACTCTTTCTAAAGTCGTTATGCGGTTAGATTTGGCAGCCGCTTTAGGGAGACTGCCGGCCCCGGCTGCACAAAGCGGTTTATCCACAGAATCGAATTGTACTTCGCTGCTGTGGCTAAGCAGGTGGACGACCGTGCTAAAGGAAATATGTATGATCTGCAATCTTTCATCGCCCTGAGGAGAGATCTATGTGGGTTGAAGCCCTCCTTTACCCTCATCGAATTCGTAGCTCGAATTGATCTTCCCGACGAAGTTATGTCGCATCCAGCTATCGTGGCCTTGGAGTACGCGGCCAATGATCATGTTTGTTGGGCCAACGTAATGTTATTCTGTGGTTGAATACTGGGGTGCCGCTGACATTACCGCCGACAGGATATTGTCTCATACAACAAGGAGCAATCTCAGGGTGACGCACACTGGCAAAACTTGGTTGCTGTGCTCATGCACGATCGAGGACTAGATATACAAGGTGCCATGAACCATACTGGTCAGATGTGTAAAGATGCCATCCAGCGCTTTGAGTCTAACCGTGCCATCCTACCCTCGTGGGGAGAAGAGGTTGACAAGCAAGTGGCTATATATGTAGAAGGGCTGCAAAACTGGATGATTGGCTCGCTTCACTGGCACTTTAATTCTCCCCGCTATTTTGGTAAGGATGGTCATGCTGTCAAGCGGGACCGAATCGTCAAGCTTCTTCCCCAAAGGCCCTCAGTGTAGAGCCTGACACTTAGTGCACGGCTTCTAGAGGTGAGATCGTTTTACTTCTTTCACGCACTGCACAATTCTTACGACTAGCTTAGTAGGATGCTGGTACATGATTTTCGTCTCACACAGACCTGAAAGTTTTGCTTCGGTTGTATAATATGTGACATCTCGCCTGCATTGCTTTGTCCTTCGTGGTCTCAATTCATCGTCCAGCTCCTCGTGTGAAACACTTCCCATGCGTATTTGGTATCACCATTGTATGTGCATTGAACAGTCTCGTAGGCCCTGGCAAGCCGTGTCTCGAATGATACCCGTATGCTGGTCTTTTTGATTTCCTGCTGTCAACTAGTAGTCACGGAGCTGCAGAGAAGATATAATCAAATGGGCTTCCGAGGACTCTACAGCTGACTCTCGTTGTTCCGATTATCACTGAAGAACCTCTCAATGATAAGCCTGACCTCGCGCCTTGCCCCTCAAGCACATTGGCATATTGAAAATATGTGTATGAATTGTTTGTGTATTTGAACGTGTGCGCAGAAGTACAAATATTCTTGGACTAATTTTGGCTGTGCGGGCACCAACCCCCGGCTTCAAATTGAACGAACAATAGCGTACAACGTCGGGTCTCTGATTCGTGGATGCCTCCCTAGTGATGAAATCATCAACAACAGATGTGCTTTGCTTTCATGTCAAGATAATTTAAATCATCATTTGAATCCACTCCAGTGTTCATGGCCATAATCAGGCAATTGAGCGCAGAAAGATAAAGTTATACAATGCAATTGCATTTGCCAGTCTGAAATAAGTGAAAATTTGTAACATTATAGTACACTTGCTCATGACGCATAACGTGGAGACCGTACGATGACATCGTGTGACATAATGTGACATAATGTGACGGAGTTCTACAAGGGTGTGACTGAGCTTGAAACTTGTACAGTGTGTCCAATGTCCATCATGATGTGACAAAGCGGATACTCAACCGACCGTCTCCTAGCTCGCTGTCAACCACACAAGCCGAACAATAGTCCTGTATATCCCTGACAAGACGGCTGTTATCATGTCATCAGGTGTCTACTATCACAGGGATAGAACCCTGCAGGTTCAATTGCCGTCAAGACTCGAGGTTTTGTTAACGGGCCCTGTCGGTGGTGTCACGGTAATGCATATCCTACCGCGTAGCCCCTTTAGCACGACACGCAGGGTCAAGATAAATATTGGTCTTATAATCCGTGAACCCAACATTTGCTAGCGCATAGCGTTTTACTCCCATTTACTTCCATGTCAACGAAGTCCGCAATCCATAATACGCTCACAACGAACAAGAAATTAGATGATCTGGAAGAGCTAGGACATGTGCCGTCATCTAATTCCCAAACAGCTTGTTCAGAATCAGGCCCTCCGGATGGCGGGTTTCGGGCATGGGGGACTGTTTTTGGGTGGTAAGCCGTGTCTCGAATGATACCCGTATGTTGTGTGTCTAATAATCACGACGATACTTAGTTTCCTTATGCAATTTTGTGCTTTTGGGTTGGTTCTCTCCGTTCGTTCGAGACATATACCAGTCAATATCACTTTCACAGATACATATCGTCTTTTGGAGTTTATCAAGGTACGCAGGAGTGCAGTCGCATGATTATTTATATCCGAAGTTGATAAACGGCCTCGGAAGATTATTACACACGAATTTATCTGACCAACTATCCGCCATCTGCAATATCGTAAGTGAATATGCTTTTGCTCTGCAACTTTTGGTCTCAGTCAGTGTCAGATGGATTGGCGCATTGACCTCGTTCCTCGCAGTCAATATCACGTTGATCTCAGGTCCGCTATACAACAGAGGGTGGTTGTAAGTTTCAGCTTTCCATAACGTTCATAGTCGGTTGTTTATCATACTGATTGCTAATAGCTATCATATGGTGATCGCGGGGTCGTCGCTCCAATCGCTGCCCTTGTTCGCGTTATCCTTTGCTAAGCCTGGTCAGTTCTACATGGTGAGTAGCGCTGGTAATTCTGTGAACAGGCTACCTATATGTGGCGACTAGATTTTCATGGTTCAAGGTATCCTCTCTGGGATTGGGATAGGCCTAACGTATGGTCCCTCCTTGGCGGTCGCCTCTCAGCACTTCTCCAGAAGACGCACGCTGGTGATGTCTCTTGTCACATCCGGTACACCACTTGGTTCCATGATTCATCCGATCATGCTCAATCACCTTTTGAATGGCACTATTGGCTTTGCAAGAGGCGTTCGCGCCAGTGCGGGTTTTGTCAGTGCTCTGTTATTAATAGCCTGTTTGTTCATGCGTACAAGAGAGCTGCCGGTACCGACTGTCAGTTATACTGCAGTGGTGCGAAAATGCTCTCGCGAGGTTCTCTTCATCCTTGTGACCGTTGGGTAAGTTCTCTCTGGCATCCGCACGAAACAACTCGAAGTTTTTGTAGCTGATTACGCATAGGATCCTGCTGTGTCAGACCGGCTATTTCTTCCCTGTATTCTACTTACAACTGGACTCTATCAAACATGGGATCGACGTACATTTCTCGTTCTACTCCGTACGTTCAATATTCTATCCTTCGTCGTCGACTCTTAACCTGGTTTAGTTTGTGATCATGAATGCTGCCTGTGTCGTCGGCCGCTGCACGGCAGGAATTATTGCAACGTATACGGGGGTATTGAACTTCACGATCGCATCCACTGTCGCATGCAGTGCCATCATAACATCCATGATAGCTCTAAGTGACGTGGCCAGTGTGGTTGTGTACAGGACTTGCATATGGCTACTTTTCCGGTGTTTGTAAGTGTCACATTGCAGCTCGTGTAATTCCTGGCATTGACTTTCCAAGACATCGCGCTGGTAGTGCCATTGATAACTGAGTTCACGCCCGATTTGTCTGAGCTAGGGTTGGCTTCTCCTACATTTGCATTTTGGTGATGTTGACCCTCATGCAGAGCGCGAATGGGCATATGTTTTGCCTTCACTTGTATGTATCGTCTAACTCTGTCTTGGAATTCTTGACAGCGCGCGAATGGTCAGCTTTTAGTGGATTAGTCGGTGAGTCGTTACTTTCCGTTCTTTATCCGCTATTGAACCAATATTTTCAGGCGGCCCAATATCAGGCGCCTTGCTTGGTTCTCAATATAGGTGGTGGATACCGTCGCTCTTCAGTGGGGTGAGTAGCTCACATTGTTCCTCCACTTGCGCACGCCTTGCGCTAAAATTTGCGTCTAGTTCATCACCTTCGTCGGAAGTTCGATGTTCGTGGCGATGCGCTTATACCGCCGGAACAAACAGAAACGATCCATAGCTGGCGGGGACACGTGAACTAGTTGTTCCTTTGGATTCACTCGAGGCAGGTGTTCACTCGTGCTGGATTAGATGTGACTTCTTGGAAATATGTGTATGAAATGTTCGTGTATTGAATGCGTGCGCAGAAGTACAAATATTCTTGGACTGGTCTATGCAGTTGCAGCGTGCGGGCACCAACCCCCAGCTTTAAATTGAACGAACAACAGCGGACAACGTCAAGTCTCTGATTCGTCTACTCCAGTGTTTACGACCATTGGTCACTCATGTCAACAAGCATTAAGCACCGCTTGCAAATTCTGATCTCAAACAATCTTTCGCACTCACACGGAGAACAAAACAATACGACAGGGTCAGAGTGGTCAAGAGGCAAAATGGACAGCGAGCAGCAAAGCCGAATATTACACACCACACTCGGACCAATAACTTAACTTTCGCTTCCTTAGGGAAGTTGTCATTTTCACTCCTAGTGCGGCCTATCATCCCGTATGCGTAATAACCAGTGGAATAGATGTGGCAGGGCCGATATTGGATCTTCTTTCCTTCAAGCCCCCTGTCAACCACGCAAGCCGAACAGTTGACTATATAAATTTCCCTAACGAGGCAACTGTTATCATGCCGTCAGGTGTCCATCCACCAATCACAAGGGCACGGAGCCAATGGGACCCTGCAGCCCAAGATTTTTACAAATATATATAATGCATTCATCGAGGCGACTCGCTGACGCCTGTTAGCGACGTCACGGCAATGCCGGGCAGCCCCTTTAGTATGAGGGTGCACGCCATTCTTGCAGGGTATCAGTGTTGCCAGTATCTGCGCACAGCTGCAACGTCAAAGCGCACGTCGCTGAATAGTAGACCACATGCATTGTACCCACTGTAGGCTGCAGTTAGCCATCTCTGAGAATAGATTCCTGTCACAGCTATAGGGAGAGTCGTGCATGTGGAATTGGTGAGCACACATGTATGTATTCCTAGTCCTTACTCCTCCTTTCAGAGACAGACATATAGTGTCTGTGTACGACAACATCCACAGTATGATGTGCCTACCAAGAATCTCATTGTCAAGAACATAAGCAGCGCTCAGACGAGCACCCAGTCACCAGGATCATCCTGACATCATAAAGCTCCGGCGATGGTCGTCATTAGAAGCCTCCTTATTGTTCTAGCTATCGCCTTTGGCATCACGCTGTATTACGCTTCGGACATCGGAGGAGTCATAGAGTGAATCATTGTATTCGGATTCACCTTTTACCTCCGCAGCAGAAGGAGGGATTAAACATGACGGAGAGGGGCCAGGCCTCGCAGCAACACATTGGGCATCACGGGGAACCTCTTTAGCGAAGTGGCGTTCGGAACTGCTTGATTAAAGGCAATAGAAGGATACGAGTGGCTGCTCTCGCAAGCTCGCGACTAGACTATGGAAGCACACTGCATGCCCAGCCCAGATGACGATATCTTCACGAGTGAAGGTGATCTAGAACGCTTGGCTGCCAGACGTGACATCATTCACGGTGTATCCCGTTGAAGAAACGCAGAATAGGATATCCCTTCACAATATCTCAGATCCGATCAAACCCACCATGGACAAGGGGAACTCACGTCTTTCCGCAGCCCCACTTTGTTTTCTAGTCAGTAATTTTCATCGTCGAATGGACTGCGCGACAGCTTCAAGTATATATTTAGAATTTGCCGTGCCTCGTGCAGTTATCCAATGCCCGCCCGATTGGGGTGAGTTGTGTTTGGTTTGTTCGTGAACCACACAGATCAGATGACACCGAAAAGTACCTAGAATGATCATCAATCATACACGAAGTGATGACATAGATAAGCGCGAAACAGGTTACCTACGCCCGTACGATGCACAGGCTCTACAGCAGTCGTACTCCTTCCTCGTCAATGCGACGATCGCCTGGCAGAGTCAGATGAGTACTATTTTACAAGGTAGTCGAAGCAGGTGACCTGTTTCTAGACATATTCTCGGCAGATGACCACATTCTGACATTGATCGTAGGCTTCTTGTCTGAAACATTTTGCCCAAAAGGGCTCATATCAGCGATCAAGCACGCCAATATGACCGAGCGCCATCACCAGATACACCGAACAGTAATCATCGAGGCTAGAAGCGAACCAGCTGATTTGCCACTAACGATCGATGATCATGTCAGGTGGTCGAGATAGCCTTAGTGGGCTCAAGGAGTCGTTGCCTAGTAAACAAGCTATAAGTAGCTGACTGGACTGTCGACACTACCATCTCTCCTCGATTCTTCATACTTCCTTTGTCTCCACCACGACATTAAGCTGCCTGCGCTAGTCGGTCTGTATGCTCAGCAAGCCAAAGTCGCGACTATTCAGACAAGCCTGAGAACAAAAACCAACGTCACAGTTACGAGCGTAGACAGCTAGATCCACGGAGCCTGGAGTTCACTGGACCAATCCTATCGCGTGTGACGGTATACTGTGCCAGAAGACAACCTTGCGTCGAGTCCATGGTTCTTGAGTGATGAGGGATATGTGTCAGCCAGTGAGTTTACTGGAGGTTTTAGTTTGTTTCCAATTCCCCAGAGTCTCCGGGGTCGTATTTGATCGCGCCTACGACGCCCAAAAATTTGTTGCCACGGTCCTTGGGCTGAACAAAACAAGGTTACACATGTCACTACGGTCCGTCGAGTAATTACCCCGCATCCATGCCTGCATATGGTTCTACTCTTTCGAATGGACGGTTCTATGGGATGTCTGCATTCTCAGCGCCTCTCATCGGATTCTAAAGCGATGTCTCCAATTGGCATGTCTACCCCAGTCCTTTCAGAATCCTCTCTTCAAGCTAGGTCCATTTATTTTACTTTGTACCCTGAGCTTGTTATCAAGTGGGACAACTCCATTTTTGGCTTTATCATCTCTTTCTCTTTTGGGACACCTGGCCGCAACCTGGCCGCCATCATTTCGCGTCCAGTGTCGCTTCTGACAATCATCTTTGCAATCGATAAACCTACTGTTCGACTTGGATACTAGTCGGCTCAAGAAAAATTCACCGAACCAGGTTATAGTAATAACCTCGTCAATATGATAAAAGAGAGGAGCGGAAAAGGATACAGTGCTTTCGGTATGTATGAGCAATCTTGCGTGAAATGCGGCATTGACCTATCCCTGCGTAGTCGGCCACAAGTTGAAATTTGCGCTCCCTTTACTCGCCACCACCTAGTTCGGACCGTCAACACAGGACTAGAAGTTCATATGGCGTTATGACCCGTTGTCAAGAGGTCTCAATTGGGCTGATCCAGTCCGACAGTATACTTCCGGAAAGCGGAGCACATAGCTGCGCCGGACCATACGTTGCGCCCCTTGTTGGATTTACGTGTTTGGATTTTCAAACTCCAACTGAGTTGCGCTGTTTGGTTTGCGCCCATTGCCGTAACCGCGCTGTGAAACGGATTTGAAGCCAGCAACATCTTGACTTGGAGTTATCTTCTATAGCGGATACTCCGAGTCAATAGTGGTCATCCAAGTTCAGAGAGGAGGACCATATGTGCAAGTGGGCGATGTCAGCACCTCAAAAGCAACCTTTATGCATGTACTCGCCTGCGGTATTTCCTCGGAGAATTCTAGGTGAGCTACAACTTCTCGTCAGGGGCATTTGTTATGCTTGCGCCAACGTTCCTAAACGAACGTTTGGTTCGAGAAAATGACAGACGGGCTTCGCGTACCGTTATATCGGTTGTGGAGCCTCATCACTCAAGATCCAAAAGTTACATATCTTGCAGTCACTTGCCCTAACAAGGCCGCTGAGCATGCTCCTCCAGGGATGCACTACCTGTGCCACCGAATGCCCCACATCAATCTGCCACGTACCAGCTGCCATCTGGGCATCGATCGTCTGGACAATTAACTCGTCACATTTCATCTAATGACAGCCGGGGTTATTTTTGTCGTCTCCTCGTCTGGGATCCGTTCTATTTGCAGTTGTTAACAGTACACCACATACCCATGGTATTCCCATTGACCGGCGCTGAGGTCCGAATAATCGACCATATTCCTGGAATCTACTCCTTACTCACTCGGATCGGTTAGATGTCGTTTCAGATTGGCACTTGTGGGTGGCATATGTTCTATGTTTTAGTCAGCCATAGTTTGCAAAGGAAGCATGTCTTCGAATCTGCAGGAGACGGTGCGCCTTCGGGCCGGTCATCCTGCTTCGAGGTTCTCTTGCTTCTCCTCGTGCGAATCCGTACTGGTCCAGCCCCAGATCTTCAGAACATCAGTACTTGGTCGACAGCATGCAGTCGTCAGTGAGGTTCCCACAGTGTCGTGCACCACGCTGTTCTGTCAACCCCCAACAACTTCTTTACCTTGCCGGTCCTATTTTACTGACGCCGGCCGAACTCCTGAACATCAAAAGTATTGCTCCGACTGCTCCGCTCTTCTGCCGGTGAAAAGTTCCTGTGGTCCGCGGTGGTGTTCCAGTTGATAAATTCCCTCGCCGTACTTACAAAAGTTAATCAGTGTCTCCGATTTACTGCCGTCGCTCTGGGCTCCCGTCCCGGCCCGCATGTCAATGGCGCAATCATGCTCTATTACATTACATACTTTCCTGAAGACATCAACTATGCCTAAGTACATTATATCGTCCGTCGGCTTTAATCGGATGCTATCTTCCGGTAGTGCTTCCGGTGATCCCCCGGCTTGGCTGCTCCTATTTCCATTTGCCCCTTCAAGACCCTACAGCACGTTTTCAGGGTCGTATACTTTGGCTCATATTGTTCTTGGTAAGTTTCGCAGGTTATCCGAGTCCGAGTCGGTTCGCTTACCCTGGTGTCACTATCAGGCTCCGCCAGTAACCAGCAGTAACCAGTGTCGAGGAAGATTGTGCCTTGCTCAATCAAGCTGGATGCCGTTTTCATTGCGCATTGGCGATGTGACAATTTCTTAACCTACTCGCAAGGGAAACGGAACGCCTGAGATACGTGGGTTATGTTATATTTTCAATTTTATGGCGCATGTGGGAATTGGGGCCACAGACCCCTAAGGACTTACTTTTCATCAATGCCTTGTCTTTTTGGTACCTGTTCTTCCGTTCATTATTCCATGATCTGTCAGTCAAAGGGTGTTCTTTCTTACCGACTATTACCAAAAATGTATCGGACGGCTGAAAACTAGTCCGCGAGCGTCTACTGATTATTTTTCAGCG